TAAGAAGAGCCTGCAACTTTGGGAAAACTCTCTGCAAGCCGACAATAGCTAATACCATTAACCTGTCATTGAAAACTCATTTTCACTTCATATTTATAAAAGGAATAGGCTGTTCATGCTGTTTTTGTCTAAGCTACCTATAATAAATCTCTTGATGTGGCAGAAATGTTTTCATAATTGCTGGTCTGGGTAATGTGACACAAAAAGAAGAGAAAAAATGCATTTTCCATCAAGTGCCAGACATTATTCTTATGCATCTAATAATCAACTTTCCCCTTATTCTTGGAGTAACTTGTACAGTAATTATACCAAAGAGAAATGAAGACAAGTAACACAAAAAACTTTCACCTCTTTGTCTGGGGATTTGCAAATCCCCAGTCTGGGGATTTGCAATGAAAGATTTATGCGAGGCTGCACAAGTGCAGGATAATTTCCATTGTCCAGGAGTCTCTTGGGACACCCAAATTTTACTAAAATTGAGAAGGCTCTGTGGTAACTCTGTAAACATCATTGAACCTCATTCAGGTCCTGACTGAGACGGTGACAACTTTGATGGAGAATTTCTTCAATAAACACTTTTCACACAGTGAGCTATGGAGAAAGGATTTCCAACCGAACACTTGGAGATGGCCCAGTGGAGCATCTATGACAATGCTGCTCACGTGCTTACACCTTATCAAAGCAAGGTGTAACTGGACTTTAAAACACTCTATCATCTTTTGGCCAGGGTGATACTAATGTCACTACAGAGAGTCTCTGCAGTGTTATTTCTTTGAAGGTCTTGTGTGTCTGCTAGGCTCATTTCTCCCTTTTTAAAGCTCATTTAGTTTCATGAGAAGACAAAGATACATGGCTGCGACTACCCTGTTAACATGAACAATAAAGATGTAATTTTGTTTAGCCTTTGGTGAAATCACAGGAGAAAAAACAGCTAAACACACCTATTTTGCTATGTTTTTAATCCCCAAAATGAATAATGGTTTTAGTTTGGCTAAGATTACCATTCTATATAATTCAAACTGTTGTGTTTAATTTTCATTGACTCTCTTCAGAGACAGGTACCCTGATGAACGATGGACTGAATTACAATCCACACTTTCTCCTCTATTGTTCTCCCAGTCAGGTTATTATATTTGCTTCAAGCTCAAAATTCAAAGTGTATTGGAAACATTCCTTCCCACATTTCGATTCACCCTGGCACCTGTGCGAGCAAAGAAGCATTTACCTGTCCAAAATCTCCACGTGAAAACCAAGCAGCTGATGAGCCCATCCTCAGAGTTAGCTCCACATTTTTAGGAAAATACTCTGCATGTCTGGCTGCACTGAGCTGCAGATAACCGATAGCAGCTGGACTGCAGATACCACAATGCCGAGTGTAATTTAAGAGAAAAACAAACCAGAACAGAAGGACTCTTTGCGTTTAACTGGCTGTGTCCTTATTTTCCTCAGCGGCTCTTGCAGATCGCGCCGGCAGCCGCACGAGGTCACGGCGCCGCTTGGCAGGCGCAGAGGGGCCAGGCCGCGGTGCCAGGGCAGACGGCAGCTCCCGGCTCTCCTCCCCTCCGGCCTGAGCCGAGCGCCGCGATCCCGAGGCCCTCGAGCAGCTCTGAGGACAGCAGGCAGGGAAAGCCCAAACGGAGCGCAAGGAGCCAAGGCTCCGGGAGCTCACTCGGGTGGGCAGTGTCCTCAGAGAGCAGACTCAGCCCCGCGGCTCTGCTTTCCCTTCTCCAGCGGGTGTAAGGCYCGACATGAGAACCTCGAGCGAGGCCGGTAATGGTTCCTACATGACCCAACGCTCCTCAAACGCCGCGCCCGAGCACCGGACAAGGCCGTGCTGAGGAAACCAAGTCAGGAATACTGTTTCTCTTGCATCCGCTTGCTTCTATTCCCAGCGTATCTGAATCTAGTAACTATTGCTGCAGTAATTCTCAGACACCAGCTAATTATGGCAAGTTGGAAGATTTYTTCTGCTGCTGCTTCTTTCAAGTTGAAAGAAAAAATATTTCTTTTAACTTGAGCTGCTCAGATCATCCTGGAAAAAGTCTTTGAAAGCAATACTAGCCATATTTTCCCTTAATACTGTAATAAAACTTCTTAGAATATTTTTGCGGGAGGGGAGAAGACATCCAGGCCAAAACCCTCGCATCCCTTCCCACGTGTTCTGGGGAGCCGTGTGGTTGGGAACCGGCTTCCTGTCTTGCCCTTGAGGAAGAGCAACAGGGAAGTGACTGCCACGTGTGTGGCACTTGGAGTGGATTCCTCCCTAGCCCACACATCTGAATAAGCAGCTACTTCAGCAGGAAAATTCAGAAGAAAACTTGGCGAATGGCAGAACACCAAAATCAATACAGATCCAGACTCAAAGCAGGGTCTCACAGAGAATCTCGAAGAGGCAACACCCAGTTATTGTGGTAGACTACTCAGTGCTTTTCAAAATGCCTGTCGGCTCCAAAGCTGAAAGTTTGGAACCTGCTAATTGTGTTTAAGTGCTTTGAATTGCGGCATTTAAATGAACAACAAACCCTTTATTGGTCATTAATCAAAGCACAAAAATACCACCAAGAGCTGGCTTGCTGACTTACTAGCTAAAGAGTCCATTASAGAGAGATGCACTTAGGGATGTATCCACTTGAGCAACACAGAATCGGGGACAAAGTTTGCATCCTGCTGCCATCTTCATGGCTGACTTAACTGTGAGCAAYGATGAAATGTTTTTGGCTCAGTTTCCTTGCCTGTGCTTTGTGAACAGACCTAGCTAACAAAGGTCCCTTCCGATCTTAAGGATTCTGTGATTCTATGATTAAGAAGTTACCTTTGCACTCATTTATAGCCCARCTCTTGACTTGTTCACTTCCATGTAGTAGCTGGAAAAAAAACTCGGGCCAAGTGAATTGTTCTGGCCTTGTCTGAAGACCTGTTTCAGACGGTACCTTGTCCAAACCAAGAAGGCGTTACAGAAGTCAGTGGATTATTGCCAAAGAATGGGGYTTTATTCAGTGCATTACAATAGACTCGATCTCAGTCTCACCACCTTATCCCAGCAGAGCACAGCAGCCCACCCCAAGGCAGKCTGTGGAGCAGACTTGCCAGCTGTCTTTAGGTAGAGGAGCTGGAAGATGAAGAAGCACGAGAGGGTTTGTAAAGGTGATTAAAACAAAAGACTAATGCAGCTTCACAGGCTTTAAATTACTCCTGGGAAGAGAGAAAGTGAAAGCTATGTGTAGCATCCTGGGTTGGGTCTGGGTCTCCCAGTATTTGGCTTCCMTCTTTTAAAAAAATTTCCTCTTACTTTCCTTTAAAGGAAGCTAGATGCCAAAAGGAGACTCCAACAAGGCCAGCATTGCTGAGGAAGGGCCCCTGGAAGAGTCCTCTGCCGTAGTTTTTCTCCGCATGGTGAAGAGCTGACTGAGCTGAAAGGTTAAAACTTTGAACATCATCTGCAGACAAAGGTTCAAGGAAGGGAAACCAGCTGAGCTCGCTAAGGGGTCACTGCCCGAAGGAAGACTTCGGCACGGGGAGTCCAAGGAAAACAACGCCATGCCGGAGGGTTCCTGTGGCCCAACAGCAAAGCCAAGCACAAAGCTAAYGCTGGCAGCAGAAGCGAAAGGCTGGAGATGCCAACAGGTCTGCAAAGTTGAAAAGGTATCAAAAGATCTTAACATTTTGTAGCCATATTAAAAATTGATTTGGTTGACAGGCAGTGGGGAGAGATTTGTTTATTTCTGCAGAAATGCATCAATAATGGAATACTGAATTAACCCCTTCCCAAAAGCATAACGCTAAAAAGAGTTAAACAGTTTTTGAACACACGGCATTTTTTTTTCTTTATTTCTCCAACCCTGAAGATAATCCATTTCTAAAGTAAATAATCCATTTTGGTTTATTTCATTTGTGAATTACCAGGATGGCTTTGAAGGAAAAATGCACCTCTGGAATTAGCAATCTTATGAGAGGTCTGAGGACTTCACCAAAGCGCTGGTTTCCTTCTGCTGAGGAATCAGACCCTTAAGGGACTGCGCCAGGCTTGCTGCTCGCTAGTAATTTGGATTATTATCTAAATGCTGCCGAGTCATTATCTTTTCCCTAAAGCTACCTTTTTATGCAAGAGTTTTCCCTAGCTAATTTAACCTTATCAGATAGGTAAATCCTTCAGAGATTAGCCTCAAGCTAGAAATCTGCTAGACAGAAGACTTAAAATGTTCTTTTTTTCCCCCAAAGATTAAGCATGTTGTACTTACCAGTTTTCAAAAACAATGAAGTATTTTTAATATTAGGCTTTACTGAGGGAAACTGATCCTATGAGCTGCAGCAGAGAGGACAGCAGCAGAGCTGCAGAGCAGAGCTGCAACAGGGCAGCGCGTGGGGAAACCGAGCCCTCCAGGCYGCCCGGGAGCCCCCCGGCTGCGGCGGCTGCTCCGGGACGCACCGGGACACCTGGGGGGCCCGGCCTGAAAAAGCAGCCGCCGTTTTTCACACACTGACCTTTTTGGAAACGCAGGCRATGATGCGGGGGAAGCCACCCAGGCTGTAACTCACTGAGGTAAAACGGCAAGTAAACGGGGAGCACAGAAGTTCGAATGAATAATTAAAGCCGCCTCACGGTGCGGGCGCCGAGCCGGCCCAGGCGGGCGCCTCGGGTGAGGTCTCTGCGCCCCAAGGCCCTCCAGGCTCCTGGGAGCTCTGGAACTGACCCATGAAACCCATCGATAGCAAACACTGCTGCCTTCCCTTGCCTGGGGCTTCTGGGGAAAATACWGGTTCGGTTTCATATTGATTTTCTGTGGATCCAAAAGATTTCTTCCAAACAAAATTGAATAAAAAGAAGAATGTCAAGAGATAAAATGAAATAAACCTGTGGTTCTTTATTAAGAGCCATTAACCTCATAAATTCATTTCTTTTTTTTTTCTGTCTTTTGCTCTGAGCAGACTCGGACAGTTTTCATCATTATCATATCTCTTTAGCCCATGTTTATCACCAGGAGCACCTCAGAAAGCTGACAGGAAAAACAGAGGCTTTTCCAGCATCTGGGCTAATTAAATCTTTTGCCTGAGGCGAGCATTAGTGGAAACTCAAGAGCTCTGCGCACCCCAGATCAGCTCAGGTGGCCACATGTCTGCTACAGACCGAATTATTTTTGGCTCCGTCTCTTTAGGCCATACCTGAGGGGAGGAAGTTCAGCAAATGAGTTTCATTTCCCAGCAGTGTAGTCGGCCGCTCACGAGGCCATCTTTACCTTCCTCCATGCTCCAGCAGCCTTACAGCTTCTCCTCGCCTTCCCTCTGCTGCTCCTCCATCCCGCCTGCACTGCGGCTCCTTCCTCCGCGGAGCTCTAAATTATTCATCCGGGCTGTCATCTGCTTCAGTTTAGATGCAATCTGCAGCGGCGCTTGGAGAAGGCACACGCACACGGAGCAGCCAAGCAGATGCATCCCCTGCCCCGCTGCGGACAGCCTCAGCGAGGCAGCCCCGACGCAAAATGTCTCTTTGCTGTTCGCTTTGCTCCTTTCCGCCAGGAATAGGTAACAGCGCCCAAGTCTTCAGACTTTTGTATCACCTGCCACTTTTCCTCATACATTCTAGTCATATTGGACCAAAAGTGTCATTAATGCAGACAGGTGGAAACTCTCAAAGCGCCTGTAGACACAGAACAATTTACTGCTTCTCCGTTTTCTGTTTCAAAGAAAAAGCTTTTCCTAACTTCAGGTTTCTGTACAGCTCAGCTGCAAAAGGTAAAAAACAAACCCCAAGGAAATGGTTGAAAAACGAGCAGATTGGAATGAGAAGGACGGGTGACCAGGAAATGCAGTGGTTTATTTTACTTAAAGGAAGACTGAAAAAGCCCATTTAACCCTGAAGGAAAATAATCCTTACAAAGGAGAGGAAATGCTGCCCTGCAGCCTCTCTGTTGCAGGCATGAATGGTGCAGTGGGGGGCTCTGGGGGGCTCCCCAGCAGGGCGCACGGTGGGCGAAGAGCCACCAGGAGCACAGGGACGGCCACCAGAGCTGCCACCAAGAGCACAGGGAGCTGCTGCTGCCACCAGGAGCACAGGGACGGCCACCAGAGCTGCCACCAAGAGCACAGGGAGCTGCTGCTGCCACCAGGGGCACAGGGACGGCCACCAGAGCTGCCACCAAGAGCACAGGGGGCTGCTGCTGCCACCAGGGGCACAGGGACGGCCACCAGAGCCACTGCCGTCACCCAGCTGGTTAAGACGGGCTCAGGAGAGGACTTCCAGCCCAGGGACTTGGCTTCTCACCTTCAGTTAATGCCAACAGCAGCTCAGTCCTTGTGCACAGCACCAACATTTTCCCCCCTAGAGTCTTCCGTAGGCTGGGGGGGCATTAGATTTTGGTCGCTTTGCTTCAGCTCGGGAGCCCTCCACAGCGGCCCCCTTAGCTGCGCACGGGGCAGGCACAGGTGCTGTCCCACAGACAGCAGCGCGGGTTGCTCTGCGAGGTGCTCGGCGGGTTTTAGGGTCCAGACCTTTCTGGCACACCTCCGGACATGCTTCCCGGTAGTTTTCTGAACTATTAAGCAGGGATGATTCACTCCCCTGTTTCAGGGTAAGCGGGAAYTGCCAGCCTAAAATCACCCTCCAGTGGCAACTTTTTTTCTCCTGAGGAACAAAAAGAGATTGTTTTACTCTAGGCAGACTGATAATAAGTGAAGATGACAACTTATATTGCTGATTTTTTTCTCCCATCTGTTTTCCTGAAAACACTTTTGGATCAATATTTTGCTGTATATTTTCAGACTRATATTTTTAGCTTTGGCCTTTCACACAACGATGCAGGAAACAATCTAATAAACTAACTTCTATTAGCCGTTTTATTGCTGAAATTGTGTTCAATTTATAACACAAAACACTGTAAAAACCTATAGCAATGATAACCATCATTTTGATTTTGACTGTTCCAGTGATGTTAATTATTAACATCTTGTGCATTTATATCTTTTGTTCCATTGYTCAATAACTGTGCAAACAGAGGCGAAACCTTTTCCTAATACTGCAGAGAAGYCTGCTTAACATGATGCTTGTTTTCCCAGATCACTGCTGACCAGACAAACTGAGGAGCGTACCCTGAAATTCTGATTTCTTTGCATTCAGTAGCTGAGATGCCCTATTTTTAGATTTCCTGTCTGGTCTGGAGCCTAAAATGTAGAATTCATTTCAGCTGCCAGCATACAGCTCAATAATGCTGCTTTTTAGTACAAAATTGCTAAAAGAATCACTTCTGAATACACCATAAAACTGACTTCATTAATGAGGTCACATGTGCAGAAATATCTCCCTTGCAGGCAAGTCCGGGCCCCCTGGGAACTGCAAGAGCTCTCCAGTTGTTTGTTTTTTCTTTTATTTTTCCCCTCACTTCGCAATACAACCTGCAATACCGACAACGAACAGAACGCAGGACATGCTGCCTGGCGCTGCGGTACACGGATATGTGCGTATTTATCTTGACACGGGAGCAAAAACAGGTACGGAAAAAAAAATAAACAGAATGTAGCAGCTCCTGCCAACCCAAATATCCCYGTGTTTACCTAATTACTCATTTTGGTCACGCTAAGTCTGGTTTTGACCTTTGCACTCTCCCATCATACTTCCTTATTTAGCTAGTTATTTTGTAAAAATAAAAAGGAAAATTCCAGGAATTTTCCAATTCAAAAGCCAATTTCAGCATGTGAATGGACTGAAAGATTTGGTAAAGAATTGGGGATGTGACAGTAATCTCTTAAAAATGCCTTTTTTTTTTTTTCTCTTTTCAGTTAAATTCAGGGGTGTCTCTGCATTTTCCAGCACCCAGCAAACCACAAGATCACCAGCCCTTCCCAACCACCCCTTGTTTCTGTCTTTGGCCCTTTGCAGCTATAGGAGCTCTGCTTCCACAACACGGAATATAGCAAAATCTGCCGTTCCAAAGGAACCCAAAGGAAAAGGGAGCCCAGTTAAGCAGCCCAAGTAYGTATCTGAAAGCCCACCTGTTTTCGCCAAGTGTCGCAGTTTGTCTGATGAGATGATCCCTCCTAACAAACTCCAGTTAGCTCTTCAGCATCCCCACCAGGGATGCTGCTCCAGCTGAAGCTGCTCTGCTAAATGGAGACCGCATCCAAATTTGCATTTTAAAAGGGGAAGCTCAGCTGCAGAAGGGGATTTGCAAACACAGAGAGGATGGCTGATCTCATGAAAGGCTCCCAGGGGAAGCAAATACCCCTTTGAAGAGGGGCAGTTTGGCTGCTCACCTGAGCAGAGCTGGGACTTCCCTCTCACAGGCTGTTCCCTCTCCCATTCCCCAACATGATCAGTGTGTGCAAGAAAGCTCTTGCCCAGCTGAGGCCATTTTCCTCATTTAATCCCATCCCCAGAGCACCCCTGTCCTTACAGCCTCAAGTTTAGCGTGGAGATAGTTAGGGGCTTCCCACAGAACACACAGCCCTTGGTCGATACATTTTCCCCAGCACATCAGCTATAATTAACAGTTTAACATAAATATCAAACACAGAAGAAAGCATCATGTGAGCCCTGCTGCCAGGCAATAAGGATCCTAGGGCACCCATAAAGAAAGTCCCAGTAGGTAAGAACATCTGTTCCAGGACTGATTTCATTACTTTGTACATCAGCTCATTCATTCCATTAGGTTTTAATGCACTCTSCTTCAAAAGAATATTTTACTAATTAGTCACTAGCAGAATAATACTCCAGGCTGACTAACGTTCTGTGAATTGCTGCCTTTTCTGGACCTCAGTGAGGGCAGTGGTGAAGCAAACACAGGACAGACCCAGTCTTCTTGTTTGCTGGGCTGTGTTTGGGAGGGTTTCGATTTTTTATTTACAGCTTCATCTTCAAGTTATTCACCTTTTCCACCATCCACTGTCTTGACATCATCCTAGGGGAACSAGGGTCTCTTGCTGTTGAGTGTCAGCTTGGTATCCGAGTGTACCAGACATGTATCCACACAGTCCCTTAGCAATGGGGCGCTTAGCCCCCCTCCTGCCCCGAGGGGGTAAAGCTTCTCCCTCTTCAGCTTCTGACATTTGGTAGAGGCTGAGGGCAGCCGGTTAGAAATGAAGCCAGAGACCCTGTACCTCCATGTTCACATTCTTTCTCCTTACAAATAGAGCTCCAGGGATTTATTACTGTGCTTACATACTCATAAAGATCTGTAAGTGGTTCAAAATGTAGCAGAAAGGTCCCTGCCTCACTAAGTACTCTGAAGTTTTATCCCTGCTACCAGCTAAAGCCTTGTCATCCCTTACTGGCAACTAGAATCTTCCCACCACTCTCRGCGGGTTGTTAGCATTACAAGTAACTCAGAGACATCCATTTAATTTCCTCGGCTGCTTTTCACTTCCAGAGCTTAATCTCTTCTCTCCTTCTATCTTTTTCAAGAGCAATATGGGTGACTAAAGACCGAGCACCATCACACATTGCTTCAGAAGGGAAGCCTGAGGTGTAAAACAGCATTTTGTTTTTACTCAACATTTTGRGTAAAGCCCATTTTCCTTCACAGAAATCTACTCCTATTAGGAAGGGCCTGCTTTTCCTCTTCCATTAGCATGTTTCATGTGTGGCCTCTGAGAGATGCAGAATAAATAACCCGGAGACTTTCCTGGCGCTAACTGAACGTACTCGGGAGCAACACCCCTTTTTGCTAAAAACAATGTCTCAGTCTATGTATTAATGGGAAGCATATTAATTTGAATGAACTACAAGTATGAGCAGTGACAGCCACCGCAAATACAAGGTGTTAGATTAAGACTAATTGTTGGAATTTGAGCCAGGTGCCTTAGCACTCAATATACTGGCATATGGTATGAATGTGAATTTATGCAAACTAAAGGAAAATCACTAGGTCACTAAGTTGTCAGCACATTTGAATGAGGAAATGTTTCTTAGGACAGCAAGATGCAAACAGAGATCAAGATTTTYGAAAATACCTTATAATTCTGGAGGTTTGGCATTTTAAAAGCTTCTAAATTTGAGGATCAGAGCCCACCTTCCAAACAGCAGGATCCTTTAGCGTGTCTTGGATAAAGCACCCAAAAGAACTCGATAAAAAAAATAAATACCATGAGTTGGTTTAGAGGAAATATGGAGTTTTTCACTTTTGGTAAAACATTTACAGGAAGAAAAGGAAAAGCCTAAAAAGAAAAGACTTGGGTTCAAGAAGCAAAACCCCACTAAGCAGCCTGTAAGATTAACTGGCTTGAGGCCAGTGCCCCACAGAAAGCAGGAGGCTTTGGGAGCACTCAGGGGCCCCCCTGAAACTCTCCCTGCTCCACAGCGCAGTCGTGCCCCTCGAACGAAAGCCTGAGCTCCAGCAGGTCGTGGGCAAACACTTGCTGACGTGCCTTGCCCTCAACCTCTGCRTTAAATCTCCATCTCCTGCTGTTTGCAGAAGGCCTCAGGCGGCGGTTGACTCCAGYGAGGCCGTTTCCAAACCATAAAAGGCCTCAGATAAAGCGGCACATTCATATTTACTTGAAATGTTGAAACAAAATCAGTCTTTTTGGGCATAATTAAAATTTAAGTTCTGGATGTGCTTTTTCCCCCTGGAAAAATAATGATCTCTGTTTTCAAAGGAAAGTATGTTTCTGTGATTGGCATCTGACAGACTTCATTAGAGTCAGGTTTCTTTGAAAGGGATCTCTGTAATTCTCTTTAATGTGGAGCTCCCTCTGTGCACTCTGTGTGTGTGTGTGCACAGAACGGGCCCATCTCGCCCACCTTCTGGCTGCAAAGCTCTGTCGCTGGTGTGAAAGAGGGGGGCAAGGAGAAGTGTCATTTATGTGCGTGCATTAAGACCGAGGACTTGGTGCTGGCAGCTTGTGTCACTACTGCTTCATACCCCAAGGAATGGTTAGCTGTCCCAAGGAAAAGCTCCCATCGAAACCTTTGGGATTCCTCCACACTCTGGGTCAAAATGCACCCACGGCAGCCTAAGCACCCACCTCTGCTCAGGCTGCCGGGACTTTCTCCTGCTAGCCCCACTGTGCTGCGTAGCCAAGCAGGGGAGCAGCTTTTCCCCTGCTCTGAAGGAGAGTCAGTTTTCCCCTTCAGCTTTGCTTCTCACGGCGCGGCCAGTGACAATATTTGAAGGCTTTTTCATTCGGGGCTTCCTGCGGTTACTGTAATTATATTGCAGGGCCCATTGGCTGTGAAACTCTAATGACATGATACAAAAGAATAAACTTCCTAGAAAAAGAATAAACTTTCTTCTAAAAGGGAGTAAACTGCCAAGTTTTTATCTCTAAGTGTCAAAGATGAGAATTTACACCAATTTGCATCAAGTGACACTGTGTTTTTTTTTTATATTACAGTTAGCAACTTTAATTAATCATTCTTTCTATTATATTCTTTCTTCCTATCGCTACTGTATTATAATAGCTATTATTATACTCAGGTCAGTTATTATATTGGGTACGTTGGATTCTTAAGTGATTCCTACAGATGTGAATTCAGAACTTCGAAGRACCTTTCATCAAATGTCCCTGAGATAAATCCTGC